TCTATGGTACTGGATCATGGCTAACACAGAAAATGTTATATTTATTGTCTGTTTATTATGACTGTAGACCTTTCGTGGTTTTCTCAGGAAAGGAATGTATAACTTTTTGTTTCTCTCTCTGAAAGGACATGGGTCTGAAAGTCTTTACTAACTTCCGGTACCGGAAACCAGAAGTGTGTGCATCCCAGGAAAGCCTGCACTTGCTGAGGTCGTTCGATAGCCCAGAAGGACGGATGATGATGTTCGGCGCTCCAGCTGCTTCTGCCTGTGGGTAGTCTAGAACCTCCTGCTGGAGTATCAGTCAGCAGAATTCTTTGGGCTGGGTGTATGTAAGACAAAGCCATATCAAACGCAGGTCTTACAGATGGTTGATGATGATGTGGAGCAAGAACTAGAATTCCTACAGTTCAACGAGACAGGCTAGAAATAGTTTTGGCCATGAGGAATAAGTAGCTTCTGATACAGGAAGAAGTCCAGGTTTTGGTTTCTGTCTTTCATTATCTTTCTAAATTTTTGTTTGCTTCTTAAGATAGGGTCCTTGTCTATAGCCCAGACTGGCCTCAAAACAGATGTGAAGACAACTATACAGGATAATGCAGGCAGCAACCCGGCATGGTGTAAGACAACTCAACGAGACTTGCTATGTTAAGCACAGGCTGGCCTTAAACTTGTTATGTAGTCAAGGGCAACCTTAAACTTCTGATTCTCCTGACTCCACCTCTTAAATCCTGGAGTTTGCAAGCATACACCACCATACTCAGCGCCATAGTTTTAATTTTCATGCAGAAACACTGATGAAATGCATCCTACGCAGACTACAGGCCACTCCTGTAAAGGACAGTGTTCTGGAGAATTAGAAATAGTAACGCCACTGAAAACTTCAGCAAGAATAATGTCAGTGGGCAAAGTTGGCAGGTACTGGCTTGTCAGCCAAGAGTCAGGGCAGAGATTTAATTCATCCAGGTAATTTGTTTTTTATTTGTTGTAACTTTTTTAAAGGCTTTTTGTATTCTTATTTTTAAAAGATTTTATTTATTTATTATGTATACAACATTCTGCCTCCATGTATGCCCGCATGCCAGAAGAGGGTGCCAGATCTCATTACAGATGGTTGTGAGTCACCATGTGGTTGCTGGGAATTGAACTCAGGACCTCTGGAAGAGCAGCAGTCAATGCTCTTAACCACTGAGCCATTTCTCCAGCCCTATTTGTAGTAACTTTTAAACATACAGAAATTTGATCATCAAAATTGTGACACCCAGATTGCGATTTGAATTTATCAGTGTTAAGCCCTAGAAGCTAATTTCTGTATCACCTCATGCTAATACATACTAGGCCTGATATAGTCAAGAGCTCAACTCAAGGGCCTGGAAGATGGTTCAGTGGGTAAATTGTTTGCTGTGCAGTTGTGAGGACCTGAGTTCACATCCCTAACACCCACATAAACGCCAGGCATTTCAGTGCACATCTGTCACCCTAGTGCTCAGGAGCAGAGACGGGTAGTCTACAGGGATTAGTGACCCACTAGTCTAGCTGACTTGAGGTGCAAGTTCAGTGAGACCCTACCTCAGAAATCAAGATGGAAAAGCAAGTGAGGAAATCAACCTGTCTGCTAGTACCTTCACAGAGGGTCATACATCACACACACACACACACACACACACACAAAAATAAAACTCGAACATATGCACGAATGAATACACATGCACTAGTGCACACATGTGTGCACAAGCACACATGCACAAATACACATACACACACACACACATGCACACACACACACACACAGAGCTTAGTGAGGCCTGTGGCACTGAAGCACAGCACGTACTTTTGCTATTTCTACATGGGACATTTCTTTGCCCTCTCCCTTCTCGTTTTAGTTCATGACATCACAGATGGCATCAACCAGGCAGAACAGGCCATCAAAGAGACAGTCAGGACGCACTTCCCCAAGACCTGGATCTGGGACCTCATCAGTGTGGAGTGAGTTTTACTTTTCTGCTACTTCTTGGGTTTTTTTCTAAAACAGAGTTCTCCCCTGTATATCTCCATTTCTATTTTTCTTCTTTTGATTTGTTAACTTTTATTCCTGGGCAATAAAGCAATAAAGTATCTGTAAAAAAAAATCATTCACTTGTACATCCTGACCATGAATGTTTGATGATTTGTTTGCTTATTTGTTCTGTAAAACTTTACTTTTCCACCAAACCTTCACTCCTATAAATTTCATGCAGGTAGGTATATATGCTATCTCAGTTCTTTAAAAAAGATGTTTATAGAAATATGGCATTTCTAAGGTTCACTTCTACAGACACTCAGACCAGGGATCTGTAACAATGCCTTACCTAACTCCTGAAGTCACTGTGTTTGTGCATGTTCTGCCTAAACTTGGGTTCCCATTTAGAGGACATAGGTCACCCACAGCCTGTCTTTTCAGTTCCTCAGGTTCAGCAAATGTCTCATTCCTTGTTCCCGATACTATAACCCAATGGGAGGCCAGCGCCTTCTGTGTGAATGGCGAAGCTGGGTTTGGCATCTCACCCAAAGCGTATCTACAGAGCTCCCAGCCCTTCTTCGTTGAAATTGCCTCACCCTTCTCTGTCGTTCGGAATGAGAAGAGTGACGTGGCTGTCAGTGTCTTCAGCTACCTGAGCACGTGTGTAGAGGTCAGTCACCCCCTTGATCTGGAAACAAAAATCCAGACAGCTAAATTATTCACTGGTCTTTTTATTAAATATCACCATAGTCTATTTACAAATAAAAAAATTGTACTATAAGGAAGTCATTTCTTTCCATATCTTTAGGAATCATTATTTACAGTTTTAATTTTATTTTCTGGGTATGCTTGCGTGGTCTACATGTATGCACATGTACCATGTGCATTTCTGGTGCCCACAGAGGTCAGAAAAAAACATCAGAGCCCCTTGAATTGACGTTATTGGCTGCAGTGAGCTGCCTCATAGATGCTAAGAACTGGACCCAGCTCCTCTTTAAGAGTAGCAAGTGCTCTTGACTGCTGGGTGACTTCTACAGCCCCAGAAATAATTGTTTTGCATCACAACAATGACTTGAAATTTAAGTAAGGATGTCATCTTGTGATGATACACACTCTACTATCTTGTGAACTTGTGAATGAGTCCTTGGGCATCTTTTAATTTTGCTAAGTTAAAATAAGAAAATCTTCTTAAGATGAAAAATGCCAAGTTCTTGGGAGACATTGAAGAAATCATTGTGTGATAAACTGTAGAATTTCAAGCAAAGGTGAGGAAAATTTAAATGGCTACTCCATGGCCATTGTTCTGTTTTTAGATTTCTGTTCAGTTAGAAGCATCTGAGAATTATGAAGCAAATAGCAACACCCTGAGTAACAACGGCAGTGATGTTCTCCAGGCTGGAGAGCGAAAAACTTATGTCTGGACCATTGTACCAAAGACACTGGGTAAGCAGCAATCTTTTGCGGATTGACCCAGATCCTTATCAACCTCTGCTTTTCTTAGATTTTCTGAAGAAACATGGTTTTTTTCTTCAGCATCATATTTTTAAATTTCCTTTATTCATTTCTCTATATTCCAAATTCTTATAATTTCCTTGTTTAAAGGTATTTTATTTTCTGCATGTATGTATGTTTCTGCATGTATGTATATGCACCACGTGCATGCAGTGCCTGGGGAATCGAGGACAGGGTGTTCCTTTGGAATTCAATGGTTGTGCGTTGTCTTATGTGAGTGCTGGAACAAACCAGGTCTTCTGCAAGAGCAGCAAGTGCTCCAACACTGAGCCCTCTCTCCAGCCCTATAACCTACTTAGTACTCTGCGGAACAAAACCCCATTCATTCACACAAAAAGTTTAATAAGATTAAAATATGGCACAAATGCTAATGTGCATGATTTATCAAGTCCACATAACATATCCCAAATAAAAACCAGATCTCTCCAATGCTACCGTGCTTCTGGCATTTGCTGCTTTGCCCAACATTCACATAAAATGCCACTTTTAGAAAAATTTCTCCTCAGACAAAACCATCAATTATGAGAGTCACTGGGATTTTTCTAAACTAAATGTAACAGCTCACCAGATACAATAAACCTCACCATTGGATCGAATACTGGGAACTTTGCTCTAGTGCCTGGCAGTTTGGAAAAGTGTCTGCGGAAGTCTCTTGCTGATGATACCAGGGAAGGAAAAGTTTAAAAGTTTAGTGAACCAAAACTGCTAAATGTAGATGATTCTTAGTTTGAGAAAATCTTTTTAAATTATGTCATTAAAATTCTTTTATTCCATGTCTTGTATTTATTGTTTTATTATATCAGGAGAGAATATGTTTTTGATTCATCTGTGATATTGATTCACCTCAGACCATTTTTCTATTAGATTTAAACTTATTAATCCTTATACTATGTAAGATCTTCAAATATCTCACTCCGAAAAGGGAGACAGAATACTTCACATGCTATGTCTTGGTGATGCTCAAGGGCTGTGCAAAGCACAGAAAGAAAGGTGCAAAATTCACACAAAGACAGAGAAACAGTATGTCGGTTATGTCTACAGCACACAGGCGATGTTAAGTCTTATAAGCTTTCCCAATCCTCCTCTCTATAAACAAGGGTGCTGGAGATCAGTTTTGATTGCGTACTGTGATACCACAGAAATTAAATCCACAGATTTCTTGCCAGCACTCAGTGTAAATCTGGTGGCCCTTGTGCTGTATCAGATCTTACTGGTTTTCTTTGGTCTTAGAAAACATTAGAAGCAGCAGTTATTACCAGGAGTGGTGGCATTTTTCTTTGATCCTGGGAAACATTAGAAACCCTGGTTACTGCCAGGAAGAGTGGTGTACTCCTTTAGTCCCAGCCCTCGGGAGGAAGAGGTGGGTAGATATCTGTGAATTCTAGGCTCCGTCTATGTAGGGAGCTCCAGGTCAGCCAGGACTACATGGTGAGACCCTATCTCCAAAAAAAAAAAAAAAAAAAAAAAAAAAAAAAAAAAAAAAAAAAAAAAAGAAAGAAAGAAAGAAAGAAAGGAAGGAAGGAAGGAAGAGAACCCCCAGATATCTGATGTTATATTGTCCAATCTCAAGCTGTTAGCACAGGTTCATAGAATGTTATCTTTCTTAAAACTTTGAAAGTTGGCCGTTGGCTGTTGCTGCGTCAGGGTCCGTTGCAAAGTCGGCATTCGGTGTTCCACTGTTGGCTGGCATCTTGGCCGTTACCACTCCTCCCACTGGGGCGACCATGTCGGGGATCGCAGCGCTAGTACGGAAAACTGGAGATTATGTGAAGACCCAGGAGTTCCGGGATTACATAACCAGCACCCACTTCTGGGGTCCTGTGGCCAACTGGGGCCTTCCGTTGGCCGCCTTCAAGGATATGAAGGCTCCTCCCGACATCATCAGCGGCCGCATGACGACGGCGCTCATGTTCTACTCCATGGCTTTCATGCGCTTTGCCTACCGGGTCCAGCCTCGAAATTACCTGCTAATGGCCTGCCATTTCACCAACGTGGTGGCCCAGAGCATGCAGGCCAGCCGTTACCTGATGCACCACTACGGTGGTGGGGCCAAGGCCAGAAACCCTCCGGCCAAATAAACTTGGTGACTGGGGGATGGGAGGGGTAGTCTGACCCGGACTTTGCAGCTTGCAAACCCTGGACTCTATTCCTCCTAAAGAAAGGCCAAGGAAAACTTTGGTTTGGACCCTAAAACAGTGCAAACCCGATTTAAATAAAAACCTGCAATTTGGTTAATTAAAAAGGCTTCAGATTGGAAAAAAATACTTTGTAAATTCTAAGGGAATAAATGAGTAACTTACTACAGAGAATCTTGAAATATGTAGAACAAGAAAGACATATTGCCTTCTCTCTAGACAGAAGAAGCTGGTTGTCTAAACTGTTGTGATATTATAAGAGTTTGGTTCATCCTATTCAAGATGATTGACAAACTTGAAGCATATCCCACTGGAGAAGGTGTCAGTATTCTTTATCTTATTCTTGGCAATATTTTCCAGGTAAAGTGAATATTACTGTAGTGGCTACATCCAAACAAAGTAGTGCCTGCCCAAATGATGCCAGCAAGCAGCAAGATGTCAACTGGAAAGACACGGTGGTCAAAGGCTTACTGGTAGAGGTATGTACCTATGAAATACCAAGTTTTCCATGATGGGAAACATAGCCTAAGAGATTAGCTAGCTCATTCTTTTTGAAAATGCTTAATTGACTAAAGTTACTTTTAACACAAACCTTCTGCTTTGAACAAATTACAGTATTATACATCCATCCTTTCTTAAGCCAACACCTCGGCCTTCACTGAGTATATGGCTCAGTGGGAAAAGACTTGCCTAGCTGTGCAAGACCCTAGGTTTTATTCCCAGCATCTGCCAATCAACCAACAGAGCCTCACCAAGGATGGTGAGGACTCTTGAAACTTGCTTTGTGGTTTCTTGACTCCCTTCTTGATGTGAAGCAGCCTTTAGATCTTCTCCCCAACCCTCTTTTTTTAATTGATTTTTATTGAGCTCTACATTTTTCTCTGTTCCCCTCCCTGCCTCTCCTCTCCCCACTTCAACCCTCCCGCAAGGTCCTCATGCTCCCAATTTACTCAGGAGGTCTTGTCTTTTTCTACTACCCATGTAGACTAGATCTACCCATGTCTCTCTTAGGGTTCTCATTTTTGTCTAGGTTCCCTGGGATTGTGATTTGTGGGCTGGTTTCCTTTGCTTTATGTTTAAAAACAACTTATAAGTGAGTAAACATGATAATTGTCTTTCTGGGTTTGGGTTACTGCACTCAAAATGATGTTTTCTAGCTCCATCCATTTGCCTGCAAAATTCAAGATGCCATTATTTTTTTCTGCTGTGTAGTATTCCATTGTGTAAACGTATAACATTTTCCTTATCCATTCTTCGGTCGAGGGGCATTTAGGTTGTTTCCAGGTTCTGACAAACAATGCTGCTATGAACATAGTCAAGCACATGTCCTTGTGGCACAATTGAGCATCCTTTGGATATACACCCCCAAAGTGGTATTACTGGGTTGTAAATATTAACTGGGAAGGTTGTTTTCTAATTTTCTGAGAAATCACCACACTGACATCCAAAGGAGCTGACATCCAATGTACCAGCTTGCATTCCCACCAGCAATGTAGATGTGCCCAATAGCCTCTCCAGCATAAGTTGTCATCAGTGTTTTTGATCTTGGCCGTTCTTACAGGTGTAAGATGGAATCTCAGAGTTGTTTTGATTTGCATTTCTCTGGTGACTAAGGGTGCTGGACACTTCCTTAAGTGTCTTCAGCCATTTTAGATTCCTCTGTTGAGAGCTCTCTGTTTAGGTGTGTACCCCATTTTTTTATTGAATTATGTCTTCTTTTGATGACCAATTTCTTTAGTTCTTTGTATATTTTGGAGATCAGACCTCTATCTTATGTGGGGTTAGTGAAGATCTTTTCCCATTCTGTAGGCTGTCATTTTGTCTTGTTGACCATGTCCTTTGCTTTACAGAAGCTTTTCAGTTTCAGGAGTTCCCATTTATTAGTTCTCCAACCTTCTTATTAACTGATCCTAAAGTCCAAGAGACGAAATCATTGTCTCTATGTTTATGAGCAGTTCCTTTTATCCTCAAAAAAAAAAATCAACAGAGCAGTTGAAAGTGTCACTCAGTGACACAGGGTTATCTTTGCACAACCTATGGGAGTCTCGGGTCTACAGGGATGTTGGTACTGTACACAAACTTCCACATAATAAGGTCAGGGACAACCCTGAGCCAGTCATGCCTCTGGGAACTGATGTTTGGTCTCCTTTCCTTCAGCTAAAAGTGGTTCAACTTATTATCCTGTTCTTGTTTTTGTTTACTCTCTAACAGCCTGAAGGTATTGAAAAAGAAACAAGCCAGAGTTTCCTTATCTGCACAGAAGGTAAGGGGGCTCTCCACGTGGTCAGCTGGTCTTAGAGCACAGCAGGTTTACCTCCTCAGCCTGTGCACAAGCCACAAGTCAAGAACACACTTAGCATCTGGATGAATTATAAGTTTCTCTTAAGGGTGTTACTTTATTTCATGTTTTATTGTTGGGGTCTGGTGCTAGCCTGGACCATAAATTATTTCTCTACCAGACAGCAACATAAACTATCTCTGTCTGGACCGTCGTGGAGGAGACGGGAATAAAGACACTACTCACATGGTTTCATTGGGAGGGAGATTCTCGGAGATCTCTCATGATATCCTGAGTTCACATCCTGAAATTTTTTTCTTGTTTATTCTCCAAACAGCCTTTATACCAAAACTTAATTTAGGGGAAATACATTAGCATTCTGTCTCCTAGGTAACCAGGTGAATGGCTTTTCCTCATGTCCACAACTGCCTGTCTGTTCTGTATGCTAGCTGTCACATAGGCTTGAATCAGCATCTCTATCAGGCATCCTCCAAATTACAAAGAAAAGAGCAAAACATCCTGACCTGTTGTTAGGTTAGGGACAGCCTGCCCGGCAGGATATGTGACCCATCTCAGGTGTGGCCTATGGCTTAATGGCTTGGCTGCCATGTCATATAGAAATATGGGCCTACATTTTATCTTCATTGATAGATAATTTTTAGCAAACCAAATGTGCATTAATGAGTGACATTTATTTGTTTGTCTGATAAGATTAATCTCCATCCGGATTATTATGATGGTCTCATGATCTTGATCAATGGACTTTCACTAGCATAGTGGTTACTTTTATATTTTTGGTAAGAAATCATCTGTAAATTCATTACTGGCCCTCAGTTACCTTATTTGTGGCCATCATAAGTATCATTTTAGCTGGTTAGTGATAATCTGATTTTAATGTCTACTCTGTCTTTAAGCATTCCTTCTATGAGCTGAGTCTTATATCTTTCATTTTTTCCATAAACAGTTTAAGTACTGAACTGATAGAAAATGGAGCCCACTGTTTAAGACAAAGCAAGCATTTTTTCTGGATGTTTTGCTGTTCTAAACTAGCTCAAATTCTCAGCTTATTTAAAAAGAGCTTTTATTACCTTTTTTGTGTGTACAGTGTGCGTGCGTGCATGCATGTATATGAGTGTGCATTGCAAGTGACTGTGAGTGTGGAAGTGAGAGGAAAACTTGCAGGAGTTCCTTCTCTCCTCCTACCCGTGGGTCCCAGGGCTTGAACTCAGATCATCAGGCTTGGTGGCACATGCCGTCACCCTCTGAGCCATCTCATGTCCCAAATTCACAATTTTATTTTCTCCAAAGGCAAAACTAGCCAATGGTCTTTTCTTCCTGATATAGCTGTTCCAAAATTCTGCTGCCATGACTTGTAGAGGGAAGTCTTTGCAGTGCTTGTATGGGCATTTTCTTTCAGGTACTAAAGTCTCAAAGCAAATACTTCTGGAATTGCCAAGCGATGTAGTGGAAGGGTCAGCCAGATCCTTTGTCACCATCGTGGGTGAGTTCATCAGATTCTGTGTCATGGTGATTTGAAAATATTGATTGAGGTATTCTGGAAAATAAGTTCTTCAAAAGCAGAATGGAGATACTTTCTCGAGCTATCGGGGCAGGAATGGTGTTCAGACCACCCCTTCTGCCTGTTTCCATGTGGGGTCTGAAAGCATGGAGTTTCCAAACCTGCATCTCTAGGAAGCACTCCCGCTGGTCAGTAACAGTAGATGCTCAGGAAACGGGAGATCCTGGTATGACCTGTACGTATGAATGTAGTGAGAGCCGCAGGCAGGCCAGCGCCACTCTGTAGAGGGTGCAGCAGGCTGTGCTCCTGCCGCCTGGCTCCCAGCTGCCTGGCTAGCTTATGCCCCGAAATAACAACACACAAATTGTATTCTTTTAAACACTGCCTGGCCCATTAGCTCTAGCCTCTTACTGGGTAATTCTCACATCTTGCTTAACCCATTTCTAATAATCTGTGTAGCACCACGAGGTGGTGGCTTACCAGGAAAGATCTTAACCTGCATCCATCTCGGAGAGGAGAGTCATGGCGACTACCTGAATCTGCTTCTTTCTCCCAGCATTCTGTTCTGTGTACTCCGCCTATCTAAGCTGCTGTCCTATCAAAGGGCCAAGGCAGTTTCTTTATTAACCATTAAAAGTAACACATAGACAGAAGACCCTCCTCCATCATATGAATGCTAAATTAGCCTCTTGGAGATTGATATGTTGTGATGCTGAGATTTTCTTGGTTTAAAAAAAAAAAGAGGTATGTTTCCTAAAAGTAGTTATTCATCTATCGTCAGCATTGAAGTCTGTAGGAGAGGGGTGGGTTATAGCTTGTATGTCATCAGTAGCTAAAACCACAACTGAGAAGCAAGCCAGCAAGGGGCCCACTTCCTGAGCATCCTCCTTTTGGTGGGAAGGAGACCTTCAGGAACGTTTCATACCAGAAACCCCTCTATTCCTCAATTAAAAACCACCTCTCTTAGATTCCCTCTAGGAAACTTTGGCTTGTTTATACATTTTGTTTATTTTAAATTATGTGTGTAGAGGGTGGTATGTGCACGTGAGTGCAGGGCCCAAGACGGCCAGAGTCGTTGGTTCCCTTGGAAGGGAAGTTAGAGGCAGATGGGAGCCACCCAATCTGGATACTGGGAGCTGAACTCAG